CAGCTATTAGTCCTGGAAAAAGTAGAGAAAATGAAGCCATCAGACTCACATTGTCCATGAGGCTGAGAGGAGAAGACAGTGGAAAACATCACCTGTACAGTGTTACTCTGTGGACATTCATAACTTTCACAACCTTATTTTTATTCTCTTACAGCAACAAAGAAGAAAAGTTGTGAAATAACATCTGTATATCTGGTTATTGCAGCAGGTCAAAGCAAACTCTGATCCCTAGTCTTAAAACTCACCTGAAACCTGAGATAAAAGCAAAAAGACATAAAGCAACATGTCTTTGGAGTTATTAAAGTCAGACACACAGCAGATGAACAATGTTCTTCACTGCAGCACATTCATCAGTCACACTGTGGTTTGATTTCCTCAAACATTATTTCCCTGAACACAGAAACCATCTGATTGGCTGAGTTGAACCCCAGTGGGAGGAACCAGTGAAAAACATTTTTAGAGGTTGTTTGCGCCCAAAGTTGAGCCAATGACATTCTTTTTGTTCTCAAAGCAGTTCTTGCTCAGAGAAATGTTTGCTGAATGTTCACTTTGTGTGTTGCGTTGTCAGCAGAACACTGAAAATGTGATGCTACACTATTTTCATTCTTCTCTCAGCCTTACAGTTTGGGGGATTCAACTGTAAGACAAGATATTTTCATTGCAAATTTTTCTCTGATATACAACAGCTGCATCTAGATGGTGAGAAGGTAACGATAGAGATGATGGTAAAGAATCTGATCAGAGTGTGTTTCCCTCTAGTCGATGTTGTGGAGTTTTCTGTTGTATTTGCTCCAAAGGTTTTTGTACAGAGTTTTGCTGTTTCCTGTCACTGTGGGCTGCAGAGCACAGTAGTACACAGCAGAGTCAGACAGCTGAAGCTTGTGGATCTTCAGAGGAACTGACTTTTCCTGGATTCCAGTATGAAATCTGTCTTCCTGGAACTCTGGAGCTTTCTGTAAAGATGCCGAGTAAGTTTTCATCATGTGCTTTGGGGAATTATTTACTTCTTGTTTGTACCAGAACAAAGTAGGGCCTGTGGAACTAGTTTCAAAAGTACAGTCCAGTATAACTGTGTCTCCTTCAGCAGCAATGACATCTCCTGGTGGCTGAATCACTTTATCTTCTCCTTTACACTCTAGAGAAGAACACAACATGCAGAGGAAGACATGAATCAATAAAAATGATTGATTAAAGGAGAAGAACCAACAGCTGTAAAGAGTTTTATTCCATGTAGAATAGATGGAACTTTGTGATCTGCTAGTTTTTCTCAGTCAAACTCTGTTCATGTTAAATATGTCACCTACCTCTTATTGTGAGCAGAAAAAAAATGACAAATAGACTCAAGTTCACTGACAGCATCTTGAAGACAATCTGTCTGTTTTGTGGATCAAACTCCACTGTGAAAGTTTGTGTGTTTTCAGTGCTTGAGTCCCAGTTTAGCTCCTCCCTTCATCCTTTCCTCCTTCCTCTCACAGCTCTGACTAACAGTGTGTTTGTCTCTGCTGCTGCTCTCATTCACTCACTAACTGAAGATCATTGGAGGAGATTAACATGTACAAATGTGTGTCATCTGCATACGAGTGTTTCCTGACAACATCACCAAACAAAAGCATGTATATGTTAAACGAACGGGGTTCCAGGATAGAACCTCCTCAGCATCTGGGTGGTATTATTTGCTTGCTGATATCTGAAAGAATCAATAGAAACAAAAACAGCCTTCAAGAGGATCAAAGCCACTCTGACCTGAACCAGCAGTCTGATAAATGGAAATGTTGATTTAGAACTGGATGGCTGAAGATGTTGACTGCAGCTGAGACTGCATCCCTGAGACTGCTCTGGTTAACGTCTCTAATGAACTCCTGCTCACATCAGGTGGAGGTCTTTACTTTGAATTTTCTTGTCTTGCTTTGACCTGTGATGCATCTGACCATGACATTTGAATTAAGCATGTGGAAATCTTCTCCTTGGTATCAGTTATGTCACTCTATAGCAGTTTGTTTCTTACTATACAAATAGATCTCTCACAGGAAAAATCTAGCAAGTATCTTCTTCTTCACCTGCTGAGTTCCACAGGGCTCCATTCTGGGTCATTTATTGTTTTTCACTTAATAGAGCTTATGTGTTAGTTCAGACAGGCACAGAGTCAAGAAGTCAGAGGCCCTTTTCTATCCAATTGTTAGTGTGCTCTATAACTGAGGTAGCATTCATTCCTTCTGTCCACTCCATGCTCACCACATCGCTGCTACATCAACCTCCATAGATCTCCCCCTCCTCCCCAACCTCCTCCCTCTAAAAAGCTCAAGTTCATAACTGTGGTTGTTTCTAATATTGTGGGACTGTAGAACACAGATGGTTCATTATTGTACCTTGAAACTATGTAAAGTGGATTTTGTAAAGTGAGAACCATTGCAGTTGGTCTCCTTGTTTTGTGTTCATCCTGTATTCATTTGAACATTGTGAATTTAAGGCTCTGCCGGGGGCTTTGTGATCTCAGGGACTGTCTGTGTCATGCCTGCTCAGATTGTTCCAGAGCATCACTGGAGCAGAGTCACTGCCAAACTCAAGTGCATGTCATTCCAAAAAAGTGGGTAAATCTGACAGTGTCCTGTCTGAATTGGCTCCCATTGGGACTGATCCTCAATAAATATAACATTCACAATCACCATTAAAACACAGCTGTATTTTCACTTTGAACCCAGCAGGAATGATGTGTGCTCAGGTGACAAAGTTTTTACAGTTGTGCTTCATTCAGCTCATGCTGATCTCTGAAGTCAGATATTTCCTGTCTTTTTCAGACTGAAAAACTCAGTCATGCCATCATCAACCCTAAATTTTGACTATTGTCATACAGTTTACTGTGATATCAGTGAGGAAACATTCACAGGCTTCAAATTATCCAGAATGCTGCTGCTCAGTTTTGTTTTTT